CCCCAAAACCCCAAAACCCCAAAACCCCAAAACCCCAAAACCCCAAAACCCCTAGGTTTCAAATCCAAATTGAAATAATGTTAAAATATATTCAAAATACCAATGGAAGGGTAATCTCTCCTTTCTCAAAGAAACGTAGCTCTAACCAAAATGGAGATAGTCCAGAAAAGCTGGAAGAGCAAAAAAGTCGTTCCTTCTTGTCTCTTAGTAGACTGATTGAGAAGGAGAAGGTCAAACTTTCTTCACCAAGCGATGAGCATTTTTAAAGCAAATAAACCCGTAGTAATAGATTTTGAGGTGCTTAGTTCTCCACTAAAACGGTACAAGAAGGCTACTAAGGTAAGTTTTAATTGTATTAACCTCTTTGATACACTTTTTGTTAAAATTTGAGACTATATATCATAATTGATCTCCCTTTGTGTGTTATGATTTTGAATTACATCAGCAAAACAACAGCAAATAAACACCTAAAAATTGAACTAACAAAGAAGATGAAATCGATCTTTGAAAAGATGAAACAGAAAGATAAAGAGATCAGTATTTCTGTATTATCCCTCTATGACTAATCTGTAGAGCAGTTACTTCAAGCAGCAGATAGAAAAGGTGCATTTTCTATAATTTGTAGAACCTGAGTAAGGCAAAGTTTTACCGAGAGAAATCGCCGATTTCGATATAAAAATGTTCAACCCAGGTCTTGGCAGAAAGAAAAGTGATCTATTTTGATAATTTCATAGAAAAATCATGTAAATAAATCAAGAGGATTTTCCATAAACTGTTCCAGACTTGACTTGACTCCAATGTGCTACTCTGACCTCAAGATGATGTCTCCCATTAAGAAGGTATTCAAGGTAAAGTGCTGTTGATAATTGTTAAGAGAAGGAAAAGATCTGTTAAGACAAGGAAACAAATTAGGAAGTATCGCTATTCCAAGTATATTGACGATAAAGAAGGAAAGAAAGATCAAGCTACTGGAATTGATGAACTTTGGCAATATAACTGAGAAAAGGAGGAAGGTTAGATTATGATAATTTCTAGATAATATCAATAGTTCATCTGGCTCTTCGGAGACACTGGAGTTGCAAGCAAAGTATGGCATCATGGAGATTAAAGAAGGGATAAAGAAGGTAAAATCTAAGTCTAGAAGTAACCTCAGAAATGAAATAATAAGCAAAAATTACAGTTCTTTCTTAAAGTTAAAATAATCGGGTTGGCAATGATCCAAAGAAAATCATAAAGAAGCCGAAACAACTTCAGCAAAATAAACAAAAGGTGTGTTCTATCTCTCATTATATCAGACGAAAAAGATCGTGAATAACAGAATGCCTCTTCAGGTATGCTTTTCTTAAAATATTAGATGGTCAACGCCTCGATTGCCTTTGATATTCCTTTAAATTACAAGCAGGAAAATATTAGATCATCAGCCTCTTTAGTAGAATGTTTCTTTATAATTTGTAGAACAGGAATCATCAGCTTGGCCGTGATTACTCTTGAAGCAATGCTTTGTCCCCTTTCAAGAGGCTATATGCTCTAAACTATAAATTATAGTTTAGCCAGAATTTATACTATTCAACTTGATCTTAGGTAAAAGGGGTTTTGGGGTTTTGGGGTTTTGGGGTTTTGGGG